AATGGAAGATAGATTATTTTAAATAATTCAAATGAAAACCCAGAATTTAAGAATCAAACCTGAATCTGTTGATATATTTGAAGTCCAAGTTATATTTAAAGTTACAAATGTCAATGTTTCTCTTTCGGACTGAAAATATCACTAGGCAATATTTTGATTGGACAGGCAGATTAAAGATGTTCAAATACCTGTGCATATACTGGAAGCTGATGGATTGAGACTTATGTGAATTTTCTGTAGGGTCAAGTTGTAGAAGACCACAGTTGAGAAAGTGTTCACAGAACTTATGTGTCATGAGATGATACTATTGGAAAAACATTGTGCACTTGATCCCCTAAATTTTCCAGACTGTCCCTTTCTTGTAACTTTCTCATGAATCTCACTGGACTTCTATCTTCTAAAAAGAATATAAAATGGATCCTCCATGCTCTTTCCTTAATATAGCCTGTTGTGACTTCATAATACTGAGTGGGAACAAGCTGGTTTCTTTGAAAGAATGATAGGGTTCAATCTTTTATTGTTTAGTTTGTAGTAACGTAAGCAATACATAAATATGCTCCCTGTAAAAATTAAACATTTCAGATAAGAGAGTCTCCTTTCACCAGCATTTACAATGATAAGCATTTCCCCTGTCTCTTCCTATGATATATGCAGAGTTTTTGCTATGCATTTGCGTGCATGGAAATGCACCCACAGAAGAAATACAGAACCACTTTGAGTGTAAGGATGTGTGTTTTTAATAAATCATTCTTCACACAATGTTTTCAAACTTGCCTTTCTTAGTAAAAAAAAGATTCTTGGGAAAAGTCTATATTACTATATGTAGACTTAACTCATTTTTTAAATTGCTGTATATATCCTATGCTATGGATATATCCCAGTTTATTGATCCCTCTGCCTACTGGTGGATATTTATATTGTTTCTAATGTTCTACTTATCAACAATGCTGCATTCATTTCTTCCTAGCCCTGTATGAGCTTTCTTCATAATAGTCTCCCTTTTTTTGTTTATCTCTTCTGGTTAGATAATCTTCTTAAAATACTGGGAACCCATGAAATGTAATAGCTAATTTTGTGCAAGGACCAATAATATCCTGTAAATTAGCCTCAAAATTGCCCAAACCATTTCCTTTGGTGAATTCTAAAGCTTCATTAGTACTTGTGATTTAGTCAAATAGGCCTGGCTGGAGCTGTTCCCACTCTGTCTGTAACTTTTGGAATGAGTTTTCTTTATCCTTCTGCCTGCCCATCCTCAGAGCAGCCTTTGTTCCCTGGCCCAGTGGGAGCACAGCAAAGTAAGAATGTGCTTTCATAGACTAAGTCCATTACTCTCTCTCCTACTGTCTACCAGAGTTTTGTTCAGGATATGATGGGGGGAAGACTTTATTTGGGATGACACAGAAGAGAGAACAGATCTCTTCTCTTGAGATCTGTTATTATAACCAGTCATTTGTGATCTTATAACCTGGAAAAATCCTGGAAGACTAGTAAGAGGTAGTTAAGTTTCAGTCACAGTTGAGTGATTTACCCATAAGTATTTCTTAATAGCCCAGCAAGGAGTCATAAGTAAGATCAGGATTTTGTTGATAGGATTATTTCTGTGCAAGGTAAAATTATCCTGGTATGAAGTACAGGAAAACAAAAAGCCTTTTTCTTTAGGTCTTTAACAAAAGAGCAGGCACAGAATGTCTAGGGGGTGGCTACTGTTGGAATCAGAAGAATGCAAAAATCCAAATGAGGGTACAGCATTTCACTGTGTTTTTAGTGTTGATCTTGCAAAGCGCATGCCTTGTATCACCAAGTTAGCTACCCTTGATATAATAGAGATGCTTTGTTTTGGAACATAGGACAAGTGTTAAAGGTTTCTTGCATATATCACTAACAATTCTACACAGTAACTTATTGACGTAATTTTGACATTCTCGAAAAGTGTGCTCTTTTGTTTAACTCTCTCAACAATACTGACCCAGGCAGGATAAGCAATCCTATAGATTATCGAGAGTAGGTGATTTATTTCATCATGGTCAAAACGTATACAAAATCTGTCTTCACACCCATCTGTTCCTAGAGATAGAGATAGATACATATTTATACAAAATAGAGATATGTATTTATACAAAAATAGAAGGGAACCATGGGATTTTGAGGTGTGCTGTGAAATTCCTACTATTTATCTTTTGTGTTTGACTATCCTTAGGGCTATAAGCTTACTCAGAGCTCACATAGATGCGCCCAGGTACTGTAAGTCAACCACTGTGCTTGGTCTCTGCCCTGTTCTTGTTCTGTGAAGTGAAGAAGGCCTCAAATGCATTTGGTTTGGTGAGGCTAGAAGCACTTGTATTTGCTATCTCTGTGTTTAAAAAAACAAAAAACAAAAAACCAAAAAAAAAAACCCATTTTGTGTGTCTGTTCCCTATAAGAATTGAGTTCTTTGCCTGCTCTGTTTTCAGACATCAAGCCTTACTTTAATGTGTTTTTCTAACTCTGCGCTCCCCATACATACTTGATCATCAAAATCACCTGAAAATACTGTGAGTTCTATGATCAGACAAGTTTAAGAAACAATCTTAGCCTGATGTGTTAGATCTGTCTCTTGGAGTTTAATTGCTGAGTCCTGTCAAGGACCCAGGTCCATAGCATGTTCCTGCAAGCACTTGGTGTCTGGCATTGCTCTTGGCAGTAAATGAATTAAAACTACAAATAAGTTAGGAGGCAAGCATCACTTCCCAAGGATCCTTTCCCAAATCAGCAGAGGCTCAGTAAGTGCTGTGAATCATAGTAATATTTATTCATTATTTCAACAATGATTCGAGTGTACACTATATGCCAGGAATTTGTGCTCAGTGCTGAGAACACACAGCTGAGAATGAGGCATTGTTTAGAATGAGCTAACATTTACTGAAGTGCTTATGGTGGGATGAATATCCAGCTAACTGCTTCACATGCCTTTGCTGGTTATAACTTCATAACTGTCCCATGAGGTGGGTAGTGTCACCATCATTTTAAAATTAAGAAACTGTTATTTCAGAAATTTGACTGACTCGGCCAAGGTCACTGATCTCATAACAGGGAGATTCAGAGTCCATACCGGACGTATATTCCTGTCTCTGTTCGTCTTCTGCTTAACACAATCTATGTGTCTCCACACTTTCCTCTTTCTACTGCCATCACTCCATGATAGAATTGCCTGGTGAACTTTTAACAAGTATCCTTGCCTGGGCTTTACCCAAAACAGATGAAAGAATAGTTGATGGGGTCCAGGCATGAGCATTTTTCAAAGCTCTCTGGGTGATACCAATGTGTAGAGATGGTTGAGAAGCATTTCGAGCATTGTTAATTGACGTCGAATACATACTGCTCCTGCCAGCCTCATGGTTTCTAGCATTCTTCTTAGATCATTTGGCTGATTAAATGATTAATGATTCCAAATCACCTTTCTTCCCTTTTAAACAAACAGAAATCTATCAAAATGTAGCAAATACTTTCATAATGCAAAATGTTCCTCAGTGAGGGACATGATAAAAGACCCATTTAACTGGGAATTTAGAAACTTGAAGATCTATTTTCAGGGGGAAGTATAGTCAACAGTGAGTGATGAGGAATGACCTGGGATCTAGAGCACCCATGAGCTCCTGGATCTCTCTTTTTCTGATGTGATTCTGAGACCCTGAGATCTTTTAATCTGATGAGGAAAGAAAACCTTGGGACAGATGGTAGTTCTTGAAAATTTCCCTCAACCCTGGTGAACACAGGTCATACATCAACTTACTTTTTTTTCCCCAAATCCAAGTCAAAGTAAAATAAAAGCTAAATAGGAGCTTACTAATTTGGATGCCTTAATATATGTACTTTATACTAAAGATTGTTTTGAATGCTCAAAGAAAAAAGAATACATTAAAAAGTAAAAGAATAGACATTTGCATTTCTTGAGGCTGTTGGACAACTTTACTCAAACAATGCATGCATATATACTAAACTTTGATTTAAGAATTCTGCGTTTCTTGCTGTCAACACTTTGTTAAGCATCTATTATATGGTCAGTAATATCTTGCCTTTTAAAGATAGCAGTCTAATTAATCATTGACTCTCCACTAATTAAATCTGTTTTTATCTTGTCTTCAATCAGTGGGTTGTGACTGATCCCTATGACAGGTTCTACTCAAAGCATCTATATCAAATGTTAAGAGAAAATGGTTAGTTGAAGTAATCACAATATTGTGGTCTATAAAATTTCTAGAAAGAGAAAGACAAGGAAAGTAAATTTGGGGGTCACTGTATTTCAACAAGTTTGAGGCACTTTTATGAGAAGAAAAAAATCAAGGCTACCCGGGAGGGGGGAAACTTTTTAAACCATTAGGTCTTTAGACAGAGAAAGAAAGAACAATGACTTCCACCCCACTGTCATAGTGATTTAAGGTGAGTATTATCTTTGCATTTTACAGTCAGACAACTGATAGGACAGTTGGATCATAAATTTCCAGTAGGGTCAAGAGTCATTTTATGACTATTACTAGAAAAGATCATTACCAAAAGAGTAAACTGAGAAAAAAGAAAAAGAAAAAGAAAAACGTGAAAAATGGCCTCCTTTTTTACATTTCCACATAGGTGATCTCCATACCAGGAGATGAACTTGAACTTGGTTGGGCGGGAGACGAACCTGGTTGGGCGGGAGACTGGAGCCCCTCAGAGAATTTGGGATTCTTCCATTTTTACTGGGAGGGTTGGCAGGTATAACATGTGTTGTTATGTGAGTCCATGAGAGCCTCTGGGGTTCTTACTCCCTGCCTCTCCATGTGGTAGAGAGTCAGTCGCTTACTCTGAAGCACTCAACTGATTTCTGTCTGTGGCTTACCCATGAACAGTGGCTTGGAAGTGTGAAAGCATGAGAAGCATGCAGTGGAACAGCATGCGCTGCCGCCATCTTCTACTTGGTTCTGCATGGGAAAGCTCCTGGGCTGGTTGGCCTCTGGGCTCAGGCTTTTTTCTCTCTCTCCCTACAGAACTCACTGAAGGCTTCAAATCGGAAGAAGAAGAGAACAAGCTTTAAAAGAAAAGCCAGTAAAAGAGGGATGGAAGTAGGTGTTTCAGAGTTTTATTCTGAGGAATTTTCACTTTCGTTCCATAACCTACTCTGCCCTATGAGATCAGATCTAAGTTGATTTTTCTGATCTGTCTTCTACCACTGCTTTCTCCTCACTGCACTCTAACCACAATAGAATTCTTTCTGTTCTTTTTAAAAAACAAACACTCAAAACTAACCTCTGCACTTGCCTGGAAATATTATCCCCAGGATGATGATGATGAAGATCAAAGCTAGTATTTCTGGAATATTTGGAGTTTACAGAGTAAAATAAAAAGCCTGGCTTAATTCTCCGGAGCAAATGATAACTTGAGATACTTTCTTCCAAGTCTTACATGGAAGTCGTGTTAAGAGTCAGCCCTGGGAAACAAAATGTAGGGTTTTTCCACCTCCCTTGCCTTGGGGTTGCCTTTCAAGCCATGGATGTGTATCCTAACAGTGCTGATTGCTTCTTTCAGCAGGAAAACAAAGGTCGTCCTTTTGTGATAAAACCCATCTCTTCTCCTCTCATGAAACCTTTGCTTGTATTTGTGAATCCCAAGAGTGGAGGCAACCAGGTGAGTCATTTTTTATGATTTTTAACTGAGAAGTTTTGATAATTTCTTGAAGACACAACTCTCACAGCCAATTAAAATAGGACCACTAGGATCCCAAGCTTTGGAAGAAGACACCGGTTTCTCAGGAACAAGGTTATTGTTTCTCTGATAGCTTTACACATTACAGGGCTGGGTAAAACCTAGATGTTCTATAATTTGTCTGTCTGCTTCCATATAAGACTATAACAGAGGCACTTAAGAAACCTAAGTACTGACTTTTTCCTTACAGATTTTCAAGAAAGGATATTCCAGAATTTCTCTTAGTTCATATGTTTCAGGATTCCTCAATTCTTATAGTTAGGAGGTCCTTTATCAACTTCTTTTTATTTCTTTCTGTTGCAATTTAGATACAACTACTTTCGTCCCTATCCTCAGAGAAGAAAAAAGGATGATTCGTGAGTCATGATAATCACTACCAAATACCACCAACATTATAGAAAATATCAACTTCTTAAGGTTTCACTGGGTCCTAGCCCAAATCCGATAGTACAGATAGTTATCTCCTTTGAGAATAAAGAAATTGACTTGGAAAAGTTAAGTCTAAAGGCATGCCTAAAGTCACACTGCTCTTTAAAGGACAGAATTTGTTCTTGAATCCTGGTCTTTGTCTCTTCATCCAATTCTCCTCCCACTCTCTGAGGCTTCTTATCAATACTCTTCTATGGGCTTTAATTTTCTGTTATTTTCGTCTGAGTTTGGATGAGAAAATATTTTCTTTATCCATGAAGTATATATTTTACATTTTGAGACAAGATTCCTTCAGGTTTTACAATAAACAACTGGAGATTTGAAACCCTTTAGTCATCCCATATAAGGAAGGTAAGTTGTATAATTAGAATTGACTTGACCCAATGGTCCAAGATGATGTTCTTATTACTGAAGACAATGGGCATTGTCCGGAATGTATTAATTACAATAAAACTTCTCTTATGGGAGCTTATGATTTAAATGAAATATTATTCCTCCTTTCATCTCTTTCTTCAAAATTCTCAAAAACTTATGATAAAAATGTGTATTAACATTTTGGAGAACAAGGAAAAGAGTTTGTGTAAGCAAAGAAACCGTTTGCTTTCAAGACCTGCTTTTTTGAGTTGCTGAGAGATCTTCGTGGAGTAATGATGGCAATTCTAAGACATCATTAGAGGAAAACCTAGACATGGGTTTCCTTGAAATGAGGTTTAATTTTCCCTGAACCATACCCACTCTCGTAGGCTAGTATCCTTATGTCCTATTAAAGGTTGGAGATGCAGTTGGGAACCATGAAACATGGAAATGTAATTGGTTCCATGATTTTGGCCACCTGAGCACAACATATTAATTAGTTTCAAATATATTTTGTCATGACAGTCCACATATAAGATGCGTTTATGAAATCATTGTAAGCTCTCTTTCCTAGGGCACACAGAAGCTTGTAAGTTATCTATTTCTTTAAGGAGCTGATGATCCAGTTAAGACATAGCCTGTTCCTATTCCAGTCTGTGTATAAATTATTAATAACGGGGACTTCAGAGATTATCTAATATTGCTTCCTATTTCACTAAATAGAAAAGAGAGGTCAAGGAAGCTTAAAATGAACTTTTCTAAAGACATCTTGTTTGTTAATGACACAAAAGGAACAAATGGAAAATAATTTAAGCAACATTAACTGAATGCGACTTCTAAATTGAGTGGCTCAGACTGCAGTGCTATGGTATTTCAGAGGTAAGCAGTGACTTGGGAGCAATAAGGAAATGGTGTCATGGACATGGCTGAAATCAAAGATGGGCACTACTTAGTTATGCAGAGGAGAGAAGACTGGAAGGACTGTCCTTTTCCTGCTCTTTACTGTGGCAGATTCCTGTTTGGCAAATTCTTGTTCATCCTTCAAGGTTCAGTGGTGCCTGTCTGAACCATTTCTCGAGATCAATCATCTTGTCCACTATGCCCCGATAGCCCTTCATAACATTTGCATGATACGAACTGCAACATAACTGCTCTATGTGCATCTTCACTGTTGGGATTCAGGTCCACCATTGAATCTGTGATTGCTAGAACACAGCACATAGTTAAATAATTGTATAATAGGATTAGAAGAACAGATGTCATGATGCCGATTATTCATTTTGAGGACAATATGATGAGTGGTGCATGCATATTAAGTTATTGGAAATGTGATTAAAGATCAGAATGATCCTGTGGAATCATGTCTCCAAGAAACAGGATACTTCATATTGAAGACTTGGGATTTATGCAATGGAAACTAGTTTTTTTGCTGTTTAAAATATTTTAGGTTAAAAAACCTTTTGGCTTTTGAACAGAGGAGTAATATGGTGGAATTTAATGTGCATATGACTCAGTTGGGAAACGTGTTACAATGCAGATTCTGCTTCAGTAAGTCAGGGTGGGCGGTAAGATGCTGCATTCGTAACAAGCTCGCAGGTGCTGATACTGCTGCTCAGAGAACCATACTCTGGTTAGCAGGAACTTACTGTGATCAATAGAATAATAGATATTTTTTGTTAAGTCCTGAGTTTTGCCTTTTCGTAATTTACTTATTCTATTCACATGCTTTTAACTATAAAAGCATTCCTGTCTCTTTCCCTCTTTGAAACTTAGGCTTTAGACTTTTTTTTTTTTTTTTTTTTTTTTTTCATTTTTAACTTGCTTAGTCTTCTGTTTTTTAAGTAAATGACTGGGCAATATTGCCACCTACTGGCAAGAAAAATAGCTTTTTTCTTTATGTAATGTTTTACTTGTGTAAGGAAAACATTTTGAAGGAATGTTTTGGGATGAACATATGTAAGGACTGCTTCTATGTCTTTCTTTTAAGAAATCCCATATTTTAAAACTCTTTAATTTTTTTCTAAATTGATACCTTATTTTTTGTACATACTTATGGAGTACATATGCTATTTTGATACATTTATGGCATATATAATGGGTATTTAGCACATCTATCACCTCAAACATTTGTCATTTCTTTGTGTTTGAAATATTTCAAATCTTCTAGTTATTTTGAAAGGTACGATATACTGTGGTTTAGTATAGTCACCCCACTGTGCAAACACTAGAACCTATTTCTTCTATGTAGTTGTATGTTTGTACTCACTATCCAACCTCTGGTCATTCCCCACCCCCACCACACCCTTCCCAGCCTCTGGTAACTATCATTCTACTCTCTACCTCTGTCAGATCCACTTTTTTAGCTCGTCTACATATGAGTGAGAGCATGCCAATTTTTGTCTTTCTGTGCTAGGTTTATTTCGCTTAACATAATGACCTCCAGTTCTATCTTTGTTGCTGCAAATGACAGGATTTCATTCTTTTTTATGGTCAAGTAGTATTTCATTACATATAGGTATCACGTTTTCTTTATCCATTCTTCTGTTGATGAACACCTAGGTTGTTAAATCTCTTAAACTTCGCAGTAGTTGTCTCTTGTTTTTCCAACACTCTTAAGGTAGAGATGACGCTGGGTGTTTTGCAAAGCTGTAGAGCTTGGTAGCGCTGCTGCTATTGTATTATTGGGATTTGAATTTGAGGAATCAGGGACCAAAATTTCAATTTTTTTTTTTTTTTTTTTTTTGAGACGGAGTCTTGCTCTGTCACCCAGGCTGGAGTGCAGTGGCACGATCTCAGCTCACAGCAACCTCCACCTCCCAGGTTCAAGCAATTCTCTTGCCTCAGCCTCCCAAGTAGCTGGGATTACAGGCATGTGCCACCACACCAGGCTAATTTCTGTATTTTTAGTAGAGACGGGGTTTCACTGTGTTGGCCAGACTGGTCAGGAACGCCTGACCTCAGGTGATCTGCCTGCCTCGTCCTCCCAAAGTGCTGGGATTATAGTACTGTGCCCAGCCAAGAATTTCAACTTTGAATGCCTCCTTCTGTGGAAAGAGGTAGTAAGTGGAAGATAAAGTTTACTCCAATGCAATCCCCTCCTATGTGTGGAAACTTTCGAGTACTAGAGAAATAGGCCCCCTCCCTTACACTTCTGTTTGCCTTAATGTCAAAACTTAGATTTTTCTTTGAGGTCCTGGGCTCATTAGCATATTTCTGAGTTTTATAGAATCCTGTGATGTTTCTCAGTATTGCGTGCTTTCACACTGTCTCTCCCTCACGTTCTCTCATGACTTTCTCTTCCAGTGACCTAGACTTTAACTTCAGGGTAAAGCAACGTTCTGACCTCTAGGATGATTCTAGCTGATCATTCCCCAGAGCCGAGGGATCCAGACCCTGGCTTTGCACGCTGTTCGATGTGGAATCCTAGGGGAGAGGTATGGCAGGAGTTGGATCCTTGGATTAAAGGCCCCAGGTCTTTATCAGTAGGGTGATCGAGGAAGAGGTATCCAGTCTGTGGACAGACTCATGCCAGCTGAGTTTCCACCACCATCTGGGAATAGGCTTTCTCAGACTAGGGTCACCCCTCCTAAGTTGGGGGCCAGTCACATCAAGGTGGGGAGAAGGGGAAGACAGAAAGAGTAAATAACTTCAGATGAGAAATTTTAGTCCCAAAACTGTTTCCAAATAATTGGACAAACAACTTTAATGAAGTAGTTACTTTTCTTCAGTACTGGAAACTTCGCAACTGAGTGATAATTCAAGGATAATTATGTTTAGATAAAAGTTTAGGCTCCTAAGGTTTAGAGTAGGCAGGGAAGAGGGCAGAGGGCAGTCAATAGATGAGGACACTTGTCAAAATCTAACCTCAAGATCTTCTTGTCCAGCCAGCCTCAACAGATGGAATTAAAACAACCAAACGATGAATCTATGGAAAGTCCTGTTTCTGAAATCATAATATTGGTGGGAGAACTGGGCAGCTAAGACCCAAACTAGCCCCCGTGATAGGTCTGGCTCCTTAGTCTGTAGCCAGAGTGATGCATTAAAAAAAGTCAGTTTGGAGAAAAAAAAAAAAAAGGTGGTTTGAATCTCTTAATTAAGACTTTTCAATGACTCCTTGTTTTCTATAAATCTCAAGCTCTGAAACTTCGTCTATTTGGGGTGGAAAGAAATAGTTAACTCTACTCATTTTTCAAGACACATTTCAGATACTTTACTTACAATGCCTTCTAATCTCTCAACTTGGGCTAAGAGTGTTTCCTCTGGGCACTCATCCTCCTCAGCAGACATCTGTATCAGAGAAGTTCTCATCTTTAGTGAATTAATTTATTTTGTATTGCTCTCCTTCCAGTAGATTCTGAGATCCCGATGGTACACATGGACAGAGTAGGGGCCCAGTACGTATTTATTGAATAAATGAGGCATTCTGTTTGGATTGTTTGAAGCAGTTTGAAATAATTATTTCTTAAGCCCTTCCTCTCATTAATGTATTTTTCTCAGGCCTTTCTTATTTTCTGGGCAGTTGTTCTTTCTATAATCTAGACAGTGCCTGCATGATATAAACCAGGACTTAGTAACATAGCAGAGTTTCAGCCTACACTAGAGTTATGATGCTTTGATGAAGATTGATGTGCTGTTTGAATGGATCAATTCTTGATTACTTCTCCACACCCCCAACAACTGTCATTATGTTTTCCTTTATGAATAATGCACAGAACTTCCTTCTGAGAGCAAGATCATCTCTGTCTTGTTCATCTGTGTATTTCTCTGTATTCTCATACCTAAAACTGTGCCTGTCACATAGTAGGTGAATGAATGACTCTTGTTAAATCCAGCCACTTTTTGGGAATTTGTATTCTCCTGTTGCACTCCCTCGCCAGTACCTGCTGCTTGGAAGAATAATGTTCTTTTCACTTCTTTGGAATACCCATTCTTATAATATCTAAAAAAGTTCTGTGGTCAGTGAGGTATATCTACAATAGCATGCATGGATTGGGATTGGTATATAAGCTGTTTTTTTTTTTCATTTAGAGAAAATTAGACTCTTGCACAAAAGTTGCAGTTTTTGTGTTTGGCATTCATGTGATAACTATGAGAGTGTTGGAGACTTGTTAGTGAGTGACAGGTGTCTAAATGAGCAGATTTAATCCTACTATTGAGGAAGAAACGGATTACCCTTCTCCTGGTGAATTAATATTTATCTAAGCATTCAGTTACATTTAATAAATTACCTCTATTAAAGCTTTAAAGTGACTTAACCTAGAAGTAACAGCAGAGTTAATAGAATTCGTTTAAATGTGTGAATTAGATCTTTGTTTCTCCACCCACTAGGTGGAGCATTTTTTCAATGCTTTCTTTTAGATACTTATCGTTTTTGGTAATAAATACTATATTTTGGAAAGAAGATTACTTTTTAAAATATATAGTCTTATCATGCCTGAATGTCAACTTCAACAGGGTAGCCATGCCTGGCTCTGCAAGTTATCTCTACACGATTGCAGGAATGTTATTCCAATAGACTACAATAGAAATGGCACCTCTGCGGCCACTCAGACCTTTTAGAGAAATTCAAGTTAAGGAAAACAATCTCTCAATGCTTTTTATTTTTATTTTGTGGAAGATGTTAATTACCTAGTAATGTTTGCATGATAGGGAGGCTGAAACTGAGATGTGCACTCTCCTATAGCAAAGGTGGAAAGGAGTAATTAACATCAACAATTCAAACTACTCTAGGAATCTAAAACTGAACACAAAATTTTCTTTTCTTTTCTTTCTTTCTTTCTTTCTTTTTTTTTTTTTTTTGAGACAGAGTCTCTGTCGCCCAGGCTGGAGTGAAGTGGCGTGATCTCGGCTCACTGCAAGCTCCGCCTCCCGGGTTCACGCCATTCTCCTGCCTCAGCCTCCTGAGTAGCTGGGACTACAGGTGCCCGCCACCATGCCCAGCTAATTTTTTTGTATTTTTAGTAGAGACGAGGTTTCACCGTGTTAGGCAGGATGGTCTCGATTTCCTGACCTCGTGATCCGCCCACCTTGGCCTCCCACAGTGCTGGGATTACAGGCGTGAGCCACTGTGCCTGGCCTGAACAAAGAATTTTCTAGCAAGTCAGTTGGAAATGTTTTATAAATTAGTTGGTCATTAAAATAACTCCTGTGTTACCTATTAAACATAAAAGATTATTCAAGATAATCCCAAACATACTTCATAGCAAGGCTCAGCATGAGAAGAGGGAAAATGATCCAGTATTTAGTGTGTATATAGATCTAAATCTGCTTGAATTTGATAGGAAGCAAAATATGTCATTTGGTGAAACTGAAGGATTCGTTGTAATTAGTAGATAGAGTGTGATTCCTAAAATTATAGCAAGCACATGATAAGGCAGAACTTTTAAATTATAGGTTTGGCTGGTACATGCAACAAAAGACCTGCATTGGCCTATGTAACAACAGGAGTAACAATGTGATAATTATAAGCTACACTTTACAGCTCACATTCGCAAGTGTAATTTAATGAATAGATTAACAGGCTGCAAAAAAGAAAAGGATTAACATTAGCAAAGGTCTGTTTTGTGCCACATACTGTGCTAGATACGTGACTGTTACTGATTGATTTAATTCTCATATTCACCCTGGTAGGTGGACATCCTTTCTATTTTATATACTGCATTTCTGCAAGGTTATAAATGCTCATGATTATTCAGAACACCGAAGTTAGTTTGACCTCAAATCTTATACTATGTCTGCTATGCTAGGATGACTTTTAAATGCAGTTTATTAGTTAAACAAGCCTTGGAATATTTTAAGAAAGAGCAATTGTGATATCTACTAAAACAACAATATTATGAGCAACAAACTCGGCTCAACTGGTCAAATATTATTTGCTATGGGTGATAAAATGGGGCATCCTGCTCATTTTTAGAGCTCTTTTGGTATTGCTTGATAAAAAGGTTCTTCTTGAATTTCTTGTTTGCTCAATCTACTTTAAAAATGATCTCTAAAGTGACCTTATGTCTGCTATAATGATGATCTCTATAAATGTCACAGTTACTGAAAACGCCCCAAAAATGTTCAAGTGAGAGAGAAGTGTTTGGCTTAAACAAACCGGTATAGGCATGGAGATTGAAAATGTCAAAGTAAGCTGTGATCTTACTAAGGAAGTTTTATATATATATAAAATAACTGGGAGCCTGGGGTACTTTTGCTTCAGTTAGAAAAAAAGTGTTTCTATAAAATTATATTGGCCGGGTGTGGTGGCTCACGCCTGTAATCCCAGCACTTTGGGAGGCTGAGATGAGTGGATCACGAGGTCAGGAGATTGAGACCATCCTGGCTAACACGGTGAAACCCTGTGTCCCCTAAAAATAAAAAAAATAAAATAAAAAAGAAAAAAGACCAGGTGTGGTGGCAGGCGGCTGTAGTCCCAGCTACTCGGGAGGCTGAGGCAGGAGAATGGCATGAACATGAGAGTCAGAGCTTGCAGTGAGCCAAGATTGCGTCACTACACTCCAGCCTGGGGGACAGAGCGAGACTCCGTCTCAAAAATAATAATAATAATACTAAAATAAAATAAAATAAATACATAAATACAATTATATTAATACTTAGCTAATGCTGCCCATATTTTATATTATACAGACAATAATCTGCACAATAAAGTGAAAATTAATGTCAAATTACATAGGTTCACTAATAACTTTTCTGTATGGATTGTCATACATTAATGATAGTAAAATAAATATTATTCATTAAGGGCTTACTGCATTTTAAACACTGTAATGTACTTCTCAAAAATTATGGCTTTTAATCCTTGCAACAAGTCTGCAAACTGGGTATTCTTGTCTCTGTGTTAAAGAAAAGGTGGGTTGAGCTAAATGAAGTTAAGAAACTTGCCCAGAGTTACATAGGTTAGATAAACATCTAGCCTGACATTCAAGCTACGTATATCCATGACCAAAGCTGGTGATTTTAAGTACACTTCTCTACTGCTTATAATTAGATATTATTTTATTTACTTATTCATCATTCATTCACTCACTCATTTTTATTTTTTGAGACAGGGTTTCACTCCTATCACTCAGGCTGGAGCGCAATGGTGCCATCTCGGCTCACAGCACACTCCACCTCCTTGGCTGGGACTAAAGGCATGCGTCACCACACCTGGCTTATTTTTGTATTTTTTGTAGAGACAGAATTTTTGTCATGTTGCCCAGGCTGGTCTCAAACTCCTGGGTTCAAGCGATCCACCTGCCTCAGTCTTCCAAGGTGCTGGGATTACAGGCATGAGCCACGACTCCCCGTGTATTATTTTAAATAACAGGATTGATTTTTTTAAATGAGCAGTGGGAAATTTCTTCCTATTATTGCCTTTTTGTGTATTTATTTTTTACAGGGAACCAAAGTTCTGCAGATGTTCATGTGGTACCTGAATCCACGGCAAGTCTTTGATCTTTCTCAGGAAGGGCCAAAAGATGCGTAAGTCTGGAAATATTCTCCATGGTCCATAAGTATTTTAGGCAAGTGAGCACTTTCTGCTTCATTATCTGATTACCTTGTGAGGTATTTCCTGACCGTCTGTCATCTACTTTCTCACCTGTATCTTCTTCCTTTAAAACTTCATCTAAAGTTCTCTTCTACTCTTTCTTGGCTTAGTTGCCTTCAAAACATATCTTCTCAGCTATTAACTCAGGATACGTCTAGTGTGTTTGTTACTTACCTGTGTGTAACTGCAGACTGTTCTCCACAAATCTGTGAATTGAGAAAGGACTCATTGTTTTTCTATTTCTTCATGTACACCTTTGAGATGCATATTAGTGGGAATGTAAATGTATGTCTGTGGAGGGTGGAGCCATATTTGTTTACGAACGTTTGAACTGAAAAGAGTGTGTGTGTGCACGCGTGTGTGTGTGTATATACAAGAGACAGAATCAATTGATTATACCTGAGGACTCTGCACAAGTGTGGGGGAGACATATTAATTCCTGCCTAATCCCTTTTCTGAGCTTCTCAGAAATCTCATTCCCTGCTTTTGTTAGAAGTGTTTAAAACAAAGTCTAGATTGTAGGTGACCCATATCCTGTTTCTCCCCTTTGGTGGAGAGGCACACAGTGGAAAAGACCAAGGACACTTGTGCTGTTCTCTGTCTCCCTGTTTTAAATTCATGTACTAGGGTAGTTCAGATGTTATCTGATAAATGTTAGAGCACAAGGATACCATTTATTTTTTAATAAGTAACAATGTCAGAGGAAAAGGCGATTTCTAGATAAATAGTATTGTTGTATAAAATGGATAAATTACTTATTTTAAGCATGTAGGAGATTAGGAAATATTAAAATTAATTTGTTATTTTCTTAATGTATAAATTTCTTTGCCAGTTGAGTTTGCTGCAAGATTCTTTCTCTCTCTGTCCCTACAACACACACACACACACACACACACACACACACCCATATATTTATTTATTTTCTATACTTTATTGTGCTAAGGCAAATCTGCTATCCTGGGATGTGCCATTTTAAGAGCTTATTTTCTTAAGATTTTATCACTTTAGTTAGACCCTAGAGAGACACTTTAGAGGTCACCATAAAGAACATGGTAGGACAGGAAATATTTTCAGAAGAAACCCGTATTTTGTGATTTAAATAGGTGATATTTTCTCAATTACAGCCTCTCGCAGCTTTAACTAAGCAAAAGGTTTAGCAGGAGCAGTTGTCACTGCATTTTCCTGAGAGCCAAGAGGAAAGACAAAATGATCTTATTTCAAGCAGGGAAGTTTGAAATAAAGAAAAATCAGTCAATCTTCCCACCTTGGGTTGGAGGTATAAGTGGTGTGTAAGTGACTGAGCTGAGAGACTAGATGGAATCGTGGATGTGATAGTAATGATAATGGGTAAGCCTCCCCATCTCGCTAAAAAAGATTTCTTAGGATTAAGAGTAGAAAGTGTAAGTTAGAAAAAGTAAATACATCCAGGGAAAGCTAATAAATATAAAGAGGGGATATATAAGGACTATTGATTATCAATTAATGATGATTTTCTTGGTGAAAGGAGAAGAGGAAATGATGGGAAAAGGGAAAGAAAGAAGTCAAAACTAATGAGAAAAATAACATTGACATGTAATAGAAGTTATGGGAAATAAAACTAGGACATCCTAAAATCCCTTAAATTCCAATGTCGAATTATTCATTCAAAAATAATGTCTGATGCCTACACCTGTTCCACTTGTGGGAGTCATTCCTCCTGTGGTTACTTGGGACCTATGATAGCATTGTCATCCCCACGGTTATACATTTTCTCCAGTGGACACCACCCCTACCCATGTTGTCCTCTGCTTTCTCTCTGCTCTAGCCAGTAAAATGTTCTTTTTGTTTACTTTTTCTTCTATTTCCTCTACAGGCTTGAATTGTATAGGAAAGTACCAAATCTGCGAATTCTGGCCTGTGGTGGGGATGGAACGGTAGGTCCCTGAAAGAGAATCCAGTTCTCTGCCAATCCTATCTTTCTTATTGTTTTCTTGTGCCACTTCTTTTTATTCATTGCCTAGTCTTTCCAATCCCCTAACACACATAGATCTCTCATGTGAATCATAGCCCCTAAGAGTAACAAAGGACTTTGTTATTGTCCTTATGAATACATACTTGATCGTTCTAATGTGTGCTTCATTCCCTCAGCTGTGCTGTATTCTTTCCTGTGCCGTGAAGTAGGGATGTGGTCAAATCATTAAAATGAAGATTGTAGATAAATTCCTTTTAAAATATAAGCTGACCTGTTTCCTTTTTTTTTTTTTTCCTCCGAGACAGAGTCTTGCTCTGTCACCCAGGCTGGAGTGCAGTGGCGCGATCTCGGCTCACTGCAAGCTCCACCTCCTGGGTTCACGCCATTCTCGTGCCTCAGCCTCCTGAGTAGTTGGGACTGCAGGTGCCCGCCACCACGCCTGGCTAATTGTTTAGTAGAGCGTGGGTTTCACCGTGTTAGCCAGGATGGTCTCGATGTCCTGACCTCGTGATTCGCCCGCGTTGGCCTCCCAAAGTGCTGGGATTACAGGCGTGACCATTTGTTCTTAATAATTTGGCCACAGTAGGGAGAAATACGTGGACACAATTGAATTATTACATTTTTTTTACTAGTGGGACTAAAACTCAATATTGACTGTTGTTTTGCCTTAAAGATTATTAATTGGTCCTATTTATATTCTTTTTTTGGATATATTTTACATGTATATGAACTATGTGTGATATTTTGTTATATGCATAGAATGTATAATGTCAAGGTTTGGAGGTATCTATTACCTAGATTATCATTTCTATGTGTTGGGAACATTTCAAGTTCTCTTTTCTAGCTACTTTGAAATATATAATACATTGTTTCTGACTGTACTCACCCTACTCTGCCATTGAACATTAGAACTTATTCCTTCTGTCTGACTGCATGTTTGTATTCATTTATGAAAAAAACGTGGAATTGGGCTGAAGGTTAATATCATGGATGTATTTTCTCTTGTTTATTATGCCTCATCTGTTTTCTTCATTTGGTCTCTACTTATAGTGATATATTTAACAAAGTAAAGAATTGAGAATCATGACATTCAGATTGTGTTGTCTGGTTCTTTTTCTTCTGGATTTGGAATCTGATCTCATAGGATCTATGATTGTATCATGAACTATCTTTAGCTTTTCTCTAATTTCCCTAATTAGAATGTTTTATTCTCAAAGGTAGCAACAAAATCTTCCAATACTATCTCTCTTAGCACATAAGCACTTAATGTAGGGTTGGATACACATTATATACCAATAAATGCAATCACAATGAAATAGAACTGTGATTTTTATCAGTCTTTCAGATATTCTGTGGAGAATAAAAACAATATTCAGTTGGGAAAAATAGTCTTCATCTTTCTTCAAGGTTTATATTCCACAATATTAGTTTATAAAATTCATTATAATGTCTTACAGCAAAGAAGCCGAATCTATTTAACTTTCTAAAATCCAACGGTTTTCAAAATTATTTGGCCATGGAATTTTTTTCCCACACAATACCAATTTTCAATTGATTTTATTGTTCTAGGGAGACATATTTGAGGGATGTGCTAGGGCAAAATTTCCCAACTTTCTTTAGTAAGAATTACATCCAAATGAACCCTCTGAGGATGTATATACTGTGTTCTTCCTAACTCAAGCATCCCCCAGCTTAGTTATCTTTAATGAAAGGGTAAACTATTGTGATTCTGTACCATACCCATAGTTATCTTCCTTATTTTAGCATCTACTTGCCTTCTCATATGACTTCAGATGTCACTCACATCTTTTCTCCTTTTCTAAACCTCAGTGACAAAAACAGGTAAGTTGAGGATGTCGTCCTTCCTCTTTCTTAACTCAAATTCATATAAGCTACACATAACATCCCCAGATCTTGGACTTCTTTGTTGCCTTGGGTGCTCCACCTCCCAGGCCTCCCCTTCTCCATGGAACCTCCCATTCTACCTCTCCCTCCCTCATTCTCTCTCCTTTCTTCTTTCTTTTCTTTTTTTATTCTTTCCTTTTTTTTTTTTTTTTTTTTTTTTTAAGACGGAGTCTGGCTCTGTCACTCAGGCTGGAGTGCAGTGGCATGATCACAGCTCACTGCAACCTCTGCCTCCCAGGTTCAAGTGATTCTCTTGCCTCAGCCTCCCGAGTAGCTGGGACGATAGGCATGTGCCACCACACTGGGCTAATTTTTGTATTTGTAGTAGAGACGAGGTTTCACCATGTTAGCCAGGATGGTCTTGATCTCCTGACCTCGTGATCCACCCGCCTTGGCCTCCCAAAGTACTGGGATTACAGGTGTGAGCCACATGCATGCCTGCCTGTCTTCCTTCTTTACTCAGCAGATATGTGGAGGAAGCACTGTGCTAGGTCATGTAGTATTGAGATATTCTCTGCAATTAGGTGAATATTTGAAAGTATGGGATTCCAATGAATAAAGGATAAAGAGGGAAGACAGCCAAGTCCACACACTTGTGAAACCTATAATTATGGGGTCTGAGCCAAAGTCCAAAAGGAAAATAAATGAAAAAATAGAAGAATAGGACAACCACCAGTCTGTTCTGGCAAGTAAACAAACCAAAAAAAGGAGTTTCAAGAAAGAGGCAGTAGTTAACGTTTTTAAGGAGACACTGAAAAGTTACCATTGCATATGGAGTTTCAAGAAAGCAGTTTCAATAGAGTATTTGGGGCAAAACCCAGAATGATGAGTAAGTGAATGTTGGTACAATCTTAATAAATTCCTAATGGACAGATCCGATTACAGTTTCGAATGTCTGTGATCTCTCTGATGCCATTGTCAGCCTCTTGACATGTAGACTACCTCCTTCTACTTTTCATATCCAGTCTTTTCAAGCAACTCTTCATTAATGATACCATAGTTTATGAGTATTCCATAAGGGTAACTAATTTTTTTTCATGTGGTAGGTACTTTTTCCTCTTAGGGACATGATCTATATTTTAACTTCTGTTTTTACCTCCTCTGATGTAATTCACAAATGTACTAGTCATTTACACTTGGGTGTCCCATGGCCACTTGCACTCAGCATGCCTAAAATAAAAGTAGTACATTTACCCTAGAGTTGGTGCATTTAGACTAATTATTTTTGTCAGTGGTAACATCTGTAGTTAAAATACTCAGAATCAAGACTTTGCTTATCTTGTACCTTATGTAAACCCAAGTTTAATTTACCTTGTTAGAATAAGAAGTTCTGTGAAAAACATGGGGTATATGGAATGTTTATCATGGTATGTGACTGATATTTTTTTGTTTTGTTTTGTTTGTTTTCTATCACTGTAGAAGCTGGCAGAATGCTGCCAGTAAAGTGACAAAGCTCAGGGAGAAATCAGAAATTAAATATTTTTGACTGACTAGGATGAGGCTGTGTTACCCCATAACCAAATTAGTTTAAATTAAGAGTATTATTTAAGATATAGAAAGTATTATTTAAGGTATAGAAAGTTTGCACTACTTTGGAAAAAAGTTCTTAGGCTTCAATATTAGCTACTTTAATTGTATGTTATTTAAAAACTACATGAAAGGCCAGGTATGGTGACTCACGCCTATAATCCCAGCACTTTGGGAGGCTGAGGTGAGCACATCACTTGAGGTCAGGAGTTTGAGACCAGCTTGGCTAACCTGGTGAAACACCATCTCTATTAAAAATACTAAAATTAGTTGGGCATGGTGGTGCATGACTGTAATCCCAGCTACTTGGGAGGTTGAGGTGGGAGAATTGCTTGAACCCAGGAAGTGGAGGTTGCAGTGAGCCAAGATTGCACTACTGCACTCCAGCCTGGGTGACACAGTGAGATTCTGTCTCAAAAACAAACAAACAAAAACAAACAAAAAAAACCACGAGGAAGCAGAGGGATACATTCCCCAATAATGCACTTGGAAGTAACCTTTGGCAGGTTCCTTAACCTCTTTTGAGACTTTCTAAATCTACAAAGAAATGCATTCAGATCTCTAAGGTTCTTATAGCTGTAGAATTATAGTAATATAGACTACTGTTCAAGATAACTTTAATGCAAGCCACATTTGTACAATTTTGAATTTTCTAGAAGGTACTTTTAAAAAGGTAAAAAGCAAGTGAAATTAATTTATAATATATTTTATTTATCTAAAATAGTATCATTTCAATATGTGTTAATTTATAAACATTAAGATATTTTATGTTCTATTTGTACAGTCTTCAAAATCTAGCATACATTTTATACTTACAGCACATCCAATTTGGATGAGCTATATTTGAGTGCTGGATCACCACGTGTGGCCAATGGCTGCTGCGTTGGGCAGTGCAGGTGTAGTCTCTTTGTTACTGGCTTGCACAATTCAGAGGCTGTCACATAGTTACAGCTGTCAGATGGTCTGATTCCATTTTCAGATCTCTTGGCTTCAATAAAATTCAGCTAACTCAAGAACGATCTCAAACCTTCATGTTTGTAAATGAGAAATAGCCTGTCCTTGGTCATGTGATAAATTTGTATTTTCTCACTTCCTTGGCCACGTTGACACCTATTCAACTCCCAATGGCTATCACCCTGCTGAAATATTGACGAGCACATGAACTGATCTCCTGAGGCTCAGGTACCCTCATTATGGCTCCTTAAGGTGTGACCTATGGTCCCTATCTATCTGGCGCCTGACTTTGGTGAACTTGGCTGGATCTGCAAGTCCACCTTTAAACATTTTAATTATTTCCAAAAGGCCTGATGTTAAATTGACTCCAGCCATCCACTTCATGCTTACTTCTTGTTCTATTAGCTTCCCTAGATGAAAAGACATCTAAAATGGTAGGTATCCCCATGCCCTGACTCACCACAGCTAATGCAAAGAAAGAAGTATTATTTTCCTTTAATCGATATGGACAATCATCTCTCATCCTAAGCCCCTTTCCTCATTCATCCTCAGCCTAGTTATATTTCATAGTCTCTC